CTGAACCACTGAGACACGGTCTTTGTTGTCATCTACGCTGAGTGTCTCGACTACCCGTTGGACAAAGTCTCGCATTGCTGGGAAGCCAGATCTAGTGCCGTCAGATCCATCCAGCAAGAACACCACATCCCTTCCTGCTGGCTGCTGTCTCACCACTAGGGAGCATAAGACAATTTCAGGTTGAAGTAGCAAATTCTGGCCCTATTGTAAGTCAGGCAATAAGCTGACCTCCAAACATCAGTTATTTTATCAGTGCTAGACAAACTCCTGTATTCCAGTTGTGGATTCTTGACCGAGGCTGGAAAATTTATCATGAACTGACTTCAAACAACATCTTTCAAAACCTTGCCATGTTAAAAATGCATCACTTTCTTACCGTCACTGTTGGTGGCAAAGGTGTGACCCTTGTTAGCGCCGTGCCCATGACAGAGGAGAGTTGTGCTTGGACACTAGGGGAGGTCTGTGAATTCAGAGACTGATAGCGCATAAGTGGGCTCATATGATAACTTCTGCAGCTCTCTGCTGTCAGAGGTCCTGGTTCCAATACCAATCACAAAGACGCCCTGCTGCTTGAGAGCAGAGGCTGGGGCGTCAACGTTGTCAAAAGACCTTCCCCCAGTTAGCAGGATCAACATTTGTTTGACACCTTGCCGATGTCTACTCCCCGAGGAGGTTGTAAAGACGTTGTCCCTGACATGTTGGAGGGCTGCCCGGTGTTTAGGGGTCTCTCCTCCTCTGTGTCTAAGCCCTCTGATTGCATCCACGATATCCTCTTTTGTACTGTACGTGTTTAGATAGAATTGGACTTCAGCCTCTCTGCTGAATTGGACCACAGATACACGGTCTTTGTTTTCTCCCACATCGAGCCTTTCCGCCACTTTCTCCACAAAATCCCGCATGGCGGGGAAGCCATTCCTTGTGCCGTCAGAACCATCGAGAAGGAATACAATGTCCTTTTGGCCGTGTCAACTGAGGATAGAAGGGGGAAGGCAAAAGAGTGAAAACCTTTGAAAAAGGATGCCTCCCAGGATCCCTGTCAACTACAGGACTGTTTTGAAATGACAATATGTCCTAAGCTTTCTCACGTCTTACAGAAGCTAAGCATGGCATGCATCATCACAACAGGCAAGCTGGGAACTAAGCATGGATCCAACAAGTTCTCTTCCTACTTGTGCTTAGAATTAAGACAGGCAACTGCTTAGGTCGCCTTTCGAGGAGCATGCCTGAAAACATACCGAGTACAGTTGGTGACTCAGGGTGACGTCAACAACCACGGCCTCCACAGAGGCCTGAAGCTGCTGTTGGACACTGGGAAGGTCAGTGAATTCGGACACGGACAGAGCATAATTGGGATCGTGGGACACTTTCTGTAATTCTCTGCTGTCGGAGCCTCTACTTCCAATTGCAAAGATCAAGACGCCCATCTGTTTGAGGGCGGCGGCCGGTGCGTCAACACTGTCGAATGATTTTCCGCCACTTAGCAATACTAGGACCTGTGGAACTCCTTCCGGCCGCCTGCTTCCGGCAGGGAGTGAAGACGTTATCCCTCAAGTACTGGAGAGCTGCTCCCGTATTGAGGGGTCTTCCGCCCTTGTGCCTCAAACCCTGACGGCGTCAAGGATCTGGCCTTTTGTCGTGTACGTGTTCAAATAGAACTGGGCAGTTGGATCCCTGCTGTACTGAACCACTGAGACACGGTCTTGTTGTCATCTACGCTGAGTGTCTCGACTACCCGTTGGACAAAGTCTCGCATTGCTGGGAAGCCAGATCTAGTGCCGTCAGATCCATCCAGCAAGAAACCACATCCCTTCCTGCTGGCTGCTGTCTCACCACTAGGGAGCATAAGACAATTTCAGGTTGAAGTAGCAAATTCTGGCCCTATTGTAAGTCAGGCAATAAGCTGACCTCCAAACATCAGTTATTTTATCAGTGCTAGACAAACTCCTGTATTCCAGTTTGTGGATTCTTGACCGAGGCTGGAAAATTTATTCATGAACTGACTTCAAACAACATCTTTCAAACCTTGCCATGTTAAAAATGCATCACTTTCTTACCCGTCACTGTTGGTGGCAAAGGTGTGACCCTTGTTAGCGCCGTGCCCATGACAGAGGAGAGTTGTGCTTGGACACTAGGAGGTCTGTGAATCAGAGACTGATAGCGCATAGTGGGCTCATATGATAACTTCTGCAGCTCTCTGCTGTCAGAGGTCCTGGTTCCAATACCAATCACAAAGACGCCCTGCTGCTTGAGAGCAGAGGCTGGGGCGTCAACGTTGTCAAAAGACCTTCCCCCAGTTAGCAGGATCAACATTTGTTTGACACCTTGCCGATGTCTACTCCCCGAGGAGGTTGTAAAGACGTTGTCCCTGACATGTTGGAGGGCTGCCCCGGTGTTTAGGGGTCTTCCTCCTCTGTGTCTAAGCCCTCTGATTGCATCCACGATATCCTCTTTTGTACTGTACGTGTTTAGATAGAATTGGACTTCAGCCTCTCTGCTGAATTGGACCACAGATACACGGTCTTTGTTTTCTCCCACATCGAGCCTTTCCGCCACTTTCTCCACAAAATCCCGCATGGCGGGGAAGCCATTCCTTGTGCCGTCAGAACCATCGAGAAGGAATACAATGTCCTTTTGGCCGTGCCCTGGGATAGAAGGGGGAAGGCAAAAGAGTGAAAACCTTTGAAAAAGGATGCCTCCCAGGATCCCTGTCAACTACAGGACTGTTTTGAAATGACAATATGTCCTAAGCTTTCTCACGTCTTACAGAAGCTAAGCATGGCATGCATCATCACAACAGGCAAGCTGGGAACTAAGCATGGATCCAACAAGTTCTCTTCCTACTTGTGCTTAGAATTAAGACAGGCAACTGCTTAGGTCGCCTTTCGAGGAGCATGCCTGAAAACATACCGAGTACAGTTGGTGACTCAGGGGTGACGTCAACAACCACGGCCTCCACAGAGGCCTGAAGCTGCTGTTGGACACTGGGAAGGTCAGTGAATTCGGACACGGACAGAGCATAATTGGGATCGTGGGACATTTTCTGTAATTCTCTGCTGTCGGAGCCTCTACTTCCAATTGCAAAGATCAAGACGCCCATCTGTTTGAGGGCGGCGGGGTGCGTCAACACTGTCGAATTTTCCGCCACTTAGCAATACTAGGACCTGTGGAACTCCTTCCGGCCGCCTGCTTCCGGCAGAGGGAGTGAAGACGTTATCCCTCAAGTACTGGAGAGCTGCTCCCGTATTGAGGGGTCTTCCGCCCTTGTGCCTCAAACCCCTGACGGCGTCAAGGATCTGGCCTTTTGTCGTGTACGTGTTCAAATAGAACTGGGCAGTTGGATCCCTGCTGTACTGAACCACTGAGACACGGTCTTTGTTGTCATCTACGCTGAGTGTCTCGACTACCCGTTGGACAAAGTCTCGCATTGCTGGGAAGCCAGATCTAGTGCCGTCAGATCCATCCAGCAAGAACACCACATCCCTTCCTGCTGGCTGCTGTCTCACCACTAGGGAGCATAAGACAATTTCAGGTTGAAGTAGCAAATTCTGGCCCTATTGTAAGTCAGGCAATAAGCTGACCTCCAAACATCAGTTATTTTATCAGTGCTAGACAAACTCCTGTATTCCAGTTTGTGGATTCTTGACCGAGGCTGGAAAAGAAATCTCAAATTTTACTTTAAACTCAATCATATTTGAAGTAATGAAAATGTTTTTCTCCATTCCTTTTTTTCGCATATTTTTTCAACATTTTTTTAGAACATCTAATCATTTTAAACTGCTGTTTTTTGAAAACAGAAATAAATACAATTAACAGTTGTTTTCTGGTGTGTTTTTTTAATCTGTGAAAAAAATCCGACCCGTTATTTTCCTGTTTGAGAAAGTTTTTGCTATTTAAACTTAATACATGCGGAAGGTCTGTTCTTGTAAAATTAGATATGTTTTTATGTTTTTTCTGCTCGGCTATGATCTTCATCCATTCACTGTCCCATGCAGGCCATTTTTCCGCATTTTTTTCGTTTTATTGGCAGCATGACGGCTGATCATGTCAGAGGGGAGTTCTGTCCTCTGGATTTATTTTTGGGTTTTTGTGACTTCTTAAGGAAGTAAGTGTGATCTGCCAGTCACTGCTTGAAAGGTTCATCACTTTTACTTATTCACTCCATGTTTGGAGTGAACAGCTTTCCGAAGCTTTAGAAATGCCTTTTGATTCCTTTATATCAGTTTTCCAAACTGATAGACATCAATTATCTTCTCCCTCTTTTGTTTCTGAATTTATTTGGACCTCAACATGATGTGCAGCTGTTGAGTTAGGCCTTATTTTAATTAGAGATGGGCCGATCCGATATTAATATATTTATATCAATATGAAAAACATCTCCTGTCGTAACATCGGCTACTAACTGTAAGTCTGCAGTTTCAGGGGATGTGGAGGGAAAATCCAGAGCTGACTGTTACACAATTCTTAATTTACCACTCAAACTTTTGTTTTGGTCATTAAATGTCAAGTTTGAAGTTTTCACACGGCTCATTAGCATCTCCAGCGCATCACTCAACCCACGCTGGTATCAGGCGTTGGAAAAGAAGATACGTCAGAGACGATCAAGATACCGGTGAAAAGAAAACAGCGCCAGAACTAGAAATGTGATCGGAGGAATCATGTCCACAGGAATGTTTTTTAGTTTCTCAGTGAGTTTCAGAGATTTTATTACTTTAGACATTATACCAATACATTGCATGCCACTGCACACATGTATGTATGTCTCCCCGTTCCTGGGCTTCACTGCTAGAGTTGTATCACCTACAATATGAGAATTGTTATATTTTCCTTTGGGGTTGAAGAAAACTTGTTATATTTATTATTTTCTTCTGCTTATTTGAGGGAATCCCTTGTTAGCTGGTCCCTAACCTGCTAACAAGGCTAAAAGGACAGAAACTCACAGCGTGGTTGGAAGATGGAACAAAAGCTCAAAACTTCAAAAATATATATTTAAGTGACGCCATACCTGATGGGGCAATTCGATTCTGTGAACGGTAGGACTGCTGGTTTTTGCTTTGTACGATTCAGCTTGCTTATGATGCTCTGCATTTATTTAAATGCAACTGGTACAAATGTGTGGATAATATTATCCACACATTATTTCCTGGTGCAGAAGAGATCGTTTGTTTCTGTATTTTGATTCAAACAAATACTTCTGCCCTTTTCTTCTGCGTTTATTTATTTTGCATTGATTTTAATCGCACTTCCTGAAGCATGACAGAAAGGTTGATGCAGTTCACATTTGCATTTCTGCCCAAAGCAGTCAACCTATTGTTTATGTCAGTTTCAGGTTTTTTTAATTTACATTGACTGTTATGCTCCTAACTGCATTAACTGAACAAATTAAAGTCGTTCAGTAACAGCTGAAACTTGTGAAGTTGTTGGTATATTGAAGTATGTTTTACTGAGCTAGGAAATAAATTTGTAATTCACTACATTTCTGTTTGTTTAAAAAAAAAGTCAATTCAGCAGTTTTTCTGCATTGCTTAGACTTAGACTAGTACTTTATTGATCCCTTGGGAAGACTCCCTCAGGAAACTGAGGTTTAGAATTGGCAGATACTAAACCTCAGATGTCTGTATTACGGTGGATCAATGCATCCCTTGATTTAAGTGATGTCACGAGAACAGAAGAGGAATCAGGTTGGAGCTCAGGTGTGATAAATCACTTTTCCTTTAATGGGGCCATGTAGGTGTAGAAACACCATTTAAAAACTGCATGTCGTGTTACTTGTTGTCTGACTAATATTTCAATTGATTTGATGTTCTGAAACACTGAAGTTTGACAAACATGCAAAAAATAGGAAGTGAGTAAGGTGGCAACACTTTTCACCCACTATGTATATATGTGACCTTTAAACCTTCACCCTTACCTTCTGTCGTCTCCTGACTCTTGATTCCAGTAAGACGCCTCATCAGAAGTTGTTGAATACGAGGCAGATTTACAAAGTCAGGGACAGAGTAGGTGTAGTCTGTGTCAGATGAAATGGCCTGCATTTCAGCTGAATTCGACTGTTTTGATCCAACTGCCAATATGACAACCCCCCCACGTTTTAGTGCGGTTGCCGGGCCCCGCGGCGAATCTCTTGACCTTCCCCCGGCCAGTACAACAAGTATCTGCTGTGCGCCTTCATTTTTTCGCCCACCAGCATTTGAGACAAAAACTTTGTCTTTTACAAACTGTAGAGCTGCCCCGATGTACTGAGGGCGGCCGCCTTTTGGCTTGAGGCTCGCAATGTGCTGGAGAACGTCATCTTTTGTAGAAAAGGAATCGAGACCGAAACTGATTTCAGCCTTGTTGCTATACTGGACAACAGCAACTTTGTCCTGCTCATGGTCTAGATCAAAATTTTGAACCAGGTTTGCGATGAATTCACGAATGGTGCTGAATGTGTTCCTGACGTCATCAGATCCATCAATGAGAAATACAATATCTCTTTTCATTGTGGAACTAGAACCTAAGAATGTGAATCATCAGATACATTTTGAAAGTGCTGCTGAACAACCAAGTATAGTCACCACCAAAATATGCTCAATATAGTTGAATGTTCTGCGTTTTAGGTGAGAGAAAGTTTTTCACTTACCAATCCCTGGGCTTACAGAGCCTCTGAGAGCGGCAGTGGCTGACAACAGCTGCTGCCTCACCAGCGGAAAATCAGATGACTCCTTGAGAAAATACCATGCCCCTGGGGCAAACCGCTCCATCTCAGACCTGTCTGCACTGCCCACTCCAACAGCAAACACAACAATTCCAGCGTTTTTCAGCATTCCCACTGGGCGTAGGATATCATCCTCAGACTTTCTCCCACTTGCAAGGACCAGGACCTGTGGGACTCCCTGCTGGAGCCGGCTTCCCGATGAAGCAGTGAAGATCGTATTCCTCACAAAATCAATGGCTCTGCCGGTGTTTACTGAGCCACCTCCTTTCAGCTTCACATTGCTCAGGTGATTCAAGGTGTCCTCCTTCACTGAGTATCTGTTCAAGGTAAAGTCAGCAGTAGGTTCTGTGCTGTACTGGACCAGAGCAACCTGTGCTTTACTCGGCCCAATTTCTAACTTCTTGACAAAATCTGTCACAAACTCCAAAATTAGTCTTTCATTAGGTTGCATGTTATCGGATCCGTCAACAAGAAAAACAATATCAGCTTTCTGATGTTCCGTTTCTACATCTGTAGAAGTGTCTGAAATGTATACAAGCACATTTAGACAAGTTCATGAATTTGAAAAGAACATGAATTTTCAGCCACCTGGAGAACTCTTATGTTTTGCTTCTTACCAGTTGTGAACTCAGTGGTTTCTTGTGAGTCCCTCAGTTTGGTTTCCACAGATGTGTGAATTCTTTGCAGGTTTTCATAGTTTGGAACAAAAAAATAATGTCCAGGTGTGTAAGCCACTGTTTGCATTTCCAATGTATCTGCATTCTTTGTTCCAATACTCAAAGTCTTTATCCCTTTGGCTTTCAGTATCTGAGCTGGTCCTCTAACATCATCTCCAGACCTACCACCACTGAACAAATACAGATGCTGAGAAGCCCGATCGGCTCCTCTGCCTCCCACTGAAGCAGCAAAGACATGGTCCTTGACAAACTCCAGTGCTTTACCGATGTTAAGCGGCCGTCCCAGCTTATGCCTCATCGTTCTAATGGAACTGAGCACATCGCTCTTAGACGAATAGGAGTTCAAGTAGAAATTAGCTGTGGCGTCACGGCTGTATTGAACAACAGCTACTTGGTCTCCGTTCTGACTCACGTTTAAATTTTCAACAATTCTTTGAATAAAGGCTCGAATCTCCTCAAAGCCATTTCTTGAGTCATAGGAGCCATCAATTAGAAAAACAACATCGCTTTTCTTTGAATCTGCAACAAAAACAAGAAGCAAAGATTAAAGGCATGCAGGTTTTCTCATGATGACATGAGAAAACCTGACGTTCTTTTAAACAACATCAGAGTCAGAGCAGATCTTACCAAAATCTACTGAATGCACCACATGTTGGGACGGCTCTCTCAACAACAACAACACGTCCTGCTTGACAGTGGACAGTTCCTCATAGTCAGTAACAGACAGTGCATATCTGGGTTCATGAGATATTGTCTGAAGCTCTAAGGTGTCTGCATCACTCGTCCCGATGGCAACTATAGAAACACCCATTTCCTTCAGTAACCTCACTGAGGTTCTGATGTCGTCCCCAGATCGTCCTCCGCTCAGCAGCACTAGCATCTGTGGGACGCCCTGCCGGATCCGACTTCCTGACTCTGGAGTAAAGACGTGGTCTCTCACATACTGGAGAGCAGCTCCAATGTTTTTAGGATAACCTCCTTTGTGAGTCAGGCCATCAACCGCTTCCAGAACATCATCCTCAGTCATGAAGCGACTCAGGTTAAAATTAATCTCAGCGGTGCTGCTGTACTGGACCACAGCCAGATGGTCACTGTCGGGACCAATGCTCAAGTCTCTCACTATTCTCTGGACAAAATCTGTGATGTCTGGGAATCTTCGCTGAGAATCATCAGAGCCATCAATCAGAAACACGATGTCTCTGCTGCTGGGATCTGGAGCCAGATGAACCAGACAAGTTGGCTGATTCAGTGAACGGCCACCGACGAAAACTAAGCATTCATCAAGCTGTGGGCAAACTGTTAAAATCTTACCATCTGACGCTGTTGTGGCAACGTACTTCTGACTCGTCTGAATGGATGTGAGGATTTCTTGTTCAGTGTCTGACATGTCACTGGAGTCTGCTGCAAGGAAAACTTGACTGGCTTCCTGGGTAATGGACTGCATCTCAAGGATGTCTGCATTCTTTATTCCCACCACAAATATCATCACACCAATTTCTTTTAGGTTTTCCGCAGCGCTCCTGACATCGTCATTTGAGCGTCCACTGGTCAGAAGAACCAGGGCCTGAGGGACTCCTTGTTGGCGTCTGCTTCCAGAGGAAGTTGTGAAAACATTTTCCTTGACGTAATTCAGAGCTGCCCTGTGTTGCGCGACCTGCCTCCTTTGTGTCTGATGGTTTTTAAACCGTCGGCAGCGCTCTGCTGTGATTTGTGTGTGTTCAGGAGAAACTCGACAGAAGGTTCGTTGCTGTATTGAACCACAGAAACTTGATCTTTCCTCTCACCCACAGTGAGTTTCTCCACCATCTGCTCAATAAAGCCAAGCACTTGTGTGAAGTCACTCAGCATTTCATCAGAGGAATCCATTAAAAACACAATGTCTCTGTGCATGAACTCTCTCTGTTGTGTGGAACCTTAACAGAAAACACAATGTGGAGTTGGTGCAGGTTCATCCTCAGAGATAGATGCTTGTTCCTTAAAATACAAACTGTCTTGTGGATTAAACTTTACAAACTCTTTAACGGATTAGTTTGTTCCACATTTTTAAGTCAATACAAATCTTTTAATGATCAATAATACAACTGAAGGACATGTTTCATCTCATATCAATCCAAACAGATAATATGTTTCTCTGTTTGCATAACCACTTTACAAAATAATAATGACAAATCTAATTTGTAACAAGTCCTATGAACGTTATTAGGAAGAATCTCTGCTGGGTTTCTGCTCCGTCCGTCACGCTGTGAACCGACGGTTCTCCTGGCTGTTGCCACTACCAACGTTTCAACTGTCATAGCGACTGTAAGCAAACTTTAGAAATGTCGCAAAAGAGAAGAAGAAGGAAACTGCGACTCCATCTACGCAGAGCGTGACTTCATCAGATGTTGACGCTGCGCACAGCTGGAAAAAACAGGAAGTGGATCCACCACTGAACGGAAATGTCGCTACATCACAACTCATTTGGCTAAAGTGTTTTCAGCTCCTTTGACCCAATAACTTATGGTAAAGTACCTCTTATTTACCTTCAGTATTATCCATTAGTCACATCTGGTTTAGATAATCTACTCCTGTTCGCTGATAGCCTGAATATATGTAGACTTACAGTTTCAACATATTTAAAAAACCCTTCAAGGTCCATATTTAATATGTAATTTTATTCTTTTGCTAAGCACTTTGAACGTCTGACGTGCAAAGACAATAAAGTTGGTCTATGCTATTCAAGTTTTTGAGCTCAAGTGAGCCGAGTTGTGAAGTTGAGGAAATTACATCTCATTTTGCTGTTTCCACCAAACTTTTCTAATGCAATACTTTAAAATGGACATAAAAATCACTGATAGAAAAACAGCTTCTGATTTGAGTTCTGATTCTGCTGGAGATTCGTTCCTGTTAAAGGAGAGTTTTTCCTCTCCACTGTCGTGACCTGCTGGTTCAGTGGATGCTCTGCTGGACACTTCAGTCCATTTTTATAACAAACTGAACTTGCTGCATTGTTTAACAACTCGAACGAACTGTCTCTGATTCCGTCCCGTCTGTCTCTGATTCCGTCCCGTCTGTCTCTGATTCCGTCTCGTCTGTCTCTGATTCCGTCCCGTCTGTCTCTGATTCCGTCTCGTCTGTCTCTGATTCCGTCCCGTCTGTCTCTGATTCCGTCCCGTCTGTCTCTGATTCCGTCCCGTCTGTCTCTGATTCCGTCTCGTCTGTCTCTGATTCCGTCTCGTCTGTCTCTGATTCCGTCCGTCTGTCTCTGATTCCGTCCCGTCTTCTCTGATTCCGTCCCGTCTGTCTCTGATTCCGTCCCGTCTGTCTCTGATTCCGTCCCGTCTGTCTCTGATTCCGTCGTCTGTCTCTGATTCCGTCCCGTCTGTCTCTGATTCCGTCCCGTCTGTCTCTGATTCCGTCTCGTCTGTCTCTGATTCCGTCTCGTCTGTCTCTGATTCCGTCCCGTCTGTCTCTGATTCCGTCCCGTCTGTCTCTGATTCCGTCCCGTCTGTCTCTGATTCCGTCCCGTCTGTCTCTGATTCCGTCCCGTCTGTCTCTGATTCCGTTCCTGCTGTCAGACACAGCAGAGGACCCTGCAGACATTCACATTTACATTTTCTAACCTTGGACAACATTTTTTGTACCTGAGAAAATGTATTTTTACTGACTTAAAAACAGACCAAAGTGCATCATTATTTTAGTAAATGTGGGATGATTTAGTGCTTTAAGGGATGGTTGGATAAGCTACTGCCTGCTGAGCTCAGATTCAGAAAATGTTCTTACCTAAAACATTAAGTGCTCTTTCTCTGGGCTGTTGCCGTGGCACCCTTTGCACCAAAGACTCAAGCTGCTGACGAATGCTTCCAATGTCATCAAATGTAAGAACAGAGAAGGCATAGGATGGGTTATGAGCAATCAATTGGAGCTCTAAAATGTCGGCAGATTTTGTTCCGACACAGAAAGGGACAACTTTGTCCTTTTTCAGATCGGCGGCAGCTCTTGTGACATCGTCTCCGGATCTTCCCCCAGTCAACAGAATCAGGACCTGAGGGACGCCCTCCTGGTAGCGACTCCCTGAGGATTCTGCGAAAGCGTTCCTCCTCACCTGCTCCAGAGCTGCACCAGTGTTTCGGGGTCGGCCCCTCTGTGGTCCAGCTGTCGGACTGCGTTAAGAACAGCTTGTTTGTCCGTGTAGGTGTTCAGACTGAAATGTGTTTGTTGATCTTGGCTGTACTGAACCACAGAAACACGGTCTTTGTTTTCACCAACAATGAGGGTTTCTACTACTTGTTGGACAAAAGTTTTCATTGCTGGGAAGCCACTCAGCGTGTCATCAGAGCCGTCCAACAGAAACACAATGTCTCTTTCAGGAGACTCTAGCTCCACTAGAAGAGAATGCAAGTTTTACGATTAGACACGATGATCAAAAGCTGCAAACAGTTATCAGAGCAAAACCAGTTGGGAGTGAAAGACTAAGAAGCTTTGCAGTAAAAAAGTATTCAGTACTTAAATACTTTGGGTAAATGTTTAATCAAGAAGAATCTTGTGAAACAAAGGAAATATTCATCTTTCTTAAATTAAAGATGGAGAGAAGCAACACATTTTATATTTTTCTAAACAGTAGAAAGAAACTGTACTTGCATAACGCTTTGAGTCCAGCGGACCTCAAAGCGCTTCACACTACATTCAGTCATTCACCCTTTTATGAATAATAATCTGTCAATGATGAGTTTATCATTGGCTCAAGGAAGAGCTGCAGAAGCAAGAGAAATCCTCTCCAAGGTCCGAGAAGAAAAATATTCAGAGCAAAACAAGAAACAATGCAACCGAGATGTTGCATCTTCCACAAGGAACAAAAAGCATGAAACTGATCGACTGAGGAAGAAGATGATGCAGTTTCTTTGGCATTAAAGTCTGTGGTAGCGGGACACGAGCAGGGAGGCTGTAAATCTGTGAGGCTTCTTACCCACGCCAGAAGGAGGCTGAGTTTGTACTTGAGTCTGGATGAACGCAGCCGTCTCAGGCTGAATGGACAGAAGCTCACTGAAGACAGGAAAGTTGAAAAGAAACCTGGAGGAGGAGGCAATTTTCTCAAGTTCCTCCTGGTCAGCACTTTTCATTCCAATGACGAAAGAAAAAACTCCAACTTGCTTCAGGCCCAAAGCAGCGCTGGACACATCGTCACTGGACGCACCACCGGTCAGCACGACCAGGACCTGAGGGACGCCCTCCAGGCGCCTGCTGCCAGAGGACGCTGAAAAAACATGTTTTCGCACAAACTCCAGCGCAGCGCCGGTGTTACGGGTTCTTCCTCCTTTATGTCGAAGCGCCCTGATGGCATAGATAACTTCCTTTTTGGTTTTGTGGGTTGCCAGGTTAAAGTAAACCGTGGCATCATCACTGTACTGCACAACAGCTAACTGAACGCCATCTTTGCCAACATCCAGCTCTTCTGCCACTCTTCTGACAAACTCTCGGAAAGCTGGAAGTCCATTTCTGGAGTCGTCTGATCCGTCAAGGAGAAACACTACGTCCCTCTTACTGCTGAACATGTCAACTGGTTGATACACGGATAGAAAGGGTGGTTGGAAACGGAGGATTCGTGTCTTTATGTAAGGAATTATGTTTTTGTTATATATAGGACTACATGAAGCTCAATGAAGAATTAAAAAGAAAACAATAATTTAAAGGTTTTAGTGAGAATAATTACTACCTGAACAGAAAAAACTGAAATATTCCTGATTTCGTCCCAACCTTTGATTGACTTAATGAGGTTTCACTCGGCAATAGTTTTAAAGAAATAAAATATCGTTTACATTTGGTGTTCTTACCTACTAAGTCAGAAATCCCATTCTTGGTTTCCTGATTGTCTTGCTGTATGTTCAGTGCAGAGAGAACTTGTGTTTGGATTGAGTTTAAACTGGAAAAGTCAGTGACCTTGAATGCAAAGCCAGGTTTAAATTCAATCATTTCCAATTCTGCAAGGTTAGCGTCTGCCACTCCAACCCCGACTGCCACAATCTCATGTTCTTTCAGGGCAAATGCTGGTCCTTTCACACTGTCTGCAGACGCTTTGCTAGTGAGGAGGATCAAAGTCTGGGGCACCCCTTCCAGCCTCCTGCTGCCTGTGGACGACGTGAAGACCCTGTGCCTTACAAACTGAAGAGCGGCACCAACATTGAGTCGCCTCCCACCTTTGTGCGCTAAGTTATCAATGGCGTTCATGTTGTCGCTCTTTGTCTTGTGGGAATTTAGATGAAAGCCGACCGCGGGTCTGTCGGCAAACTGAACCACAGACACTCTGTCAAGGCCCTCGTCAACATACAGGCGTCCCACTATGTTTTTAACAAAACTCTTTATGTCTGTGAATCCGTCTCTGGTGTTATCAGACCCATCCAGCAGGAACACAATATCTCTTTTTACAGCATCATTTTGCACTATGACACAGATAAAGTTCAGTTATTCTGGTCAAGCAGCAAACATGAGAAAAAAGCAGCGTTTCACACGGCAGCTTCATCGCACCGAGAAGGAAAGGTTGTCTGTCTTACCTTGCCGTAGGGCGGATTCCAGCTGGTCCTTCGATAGGGAAATATAGTTGTTGATCCTCGGCAATATGGGTTCCAGTTCCCTGAATTCCTTCACATTGAAAGCAAACGAAGGGTTGTGCGCTATGGCCTCAATCTGCTTCTTGTCTGCGTTCTTGACACCAACACCAAACGGTACAACTCCGTCCGTCTTCAGTTCCCCGGCGGGTCCCGTGACGCTATCCATGGATCTGTCTGCAGCCAAAACAATCAGAAACTGAGGGACGTTTTGAGCAGCGCGGCTGCCATTGCTGTCAGACATGATGGTGGACTTCATGTATCTCAGAGCGGCTCCTGTGTTCAGGCTGCGTCCGCCAGCCAGAGCCATCCCCTGAACAGCTCTTATCACCTCCTCTTTGGTTTGATAAGTCTTGAGGTAGAAGACCGGGGTGGGTTTCTCACTGTGTTGAACCACAGAGACGCGAATTTTGTCAGTCCCTATGTCAAGTGGTTCAATCACTTTGAGGATGAAATCCCGAATGTAGGGGAAAAATCCTTGAACACTGTCAGTCCCATCAATCAGGAAGGCAACGTCTCTTTCACCTCCAGTAATCACCTCTGTGGGAAGGAAAGAAGCCTGTTAGTGCGTCTTGCATTCATATATATTCAACTTTATCAGTGTTAAAAGAACATTTGGAGACTAACCTGTGTCACCAACTACAGTTATTATATTCTGCATCATATCATCGACCAAGGCTGGTAACTCAGAGAATCTCTGTTTGTGATAGGCCAGGTTTGGAATGAAGGCAATCTTTTTCAGTTCTTCTTGGTCAGCTTGCCAGAACTCACTGTAAAAGTCAAAACATTTGCCAAAGCCAATCTATCAGCCTCGCTTCCAGCGTCATCCTGCAGGGGACCACCAGTGATCAGGATCAGCACTTGCACGGCACCCTGGAGTTTGCGTGACCCAACTGATGTCTGGAACATTTGTCCAAAGCGTAACTCATGGCAGCTCCAGTATTCAGCACCGAGCCTCCGGTCAGCCTGAGTTGAGAGATTTTGTCCACGACGTCTCGGTTGTTGTTGTAGCTGTTCAGGTAAAATTCAATCCTTGGCTGCTCTGCGAACTGCATGAGTCCAATCTGGACCTGCTCAGGACTTATGTTCAGCTGATTGACGATGTTGATCATGAAGTCTCTCACAAATGGCAAGTTGCTGCTCCCCACGTAGTTTGATCCGTCCACAAGGAACACGATGTCTCGAAACACTCTCTGCACCGTGGTGATCACCGCTAAAGGAAAGCACAAAAAATGCAAATCTTATTGCAGGGCAACTTAACTAGCTTTTGTATCAGTAACTTTTAAACCATTTGTACCACAGGTGAGCAGCTGTGGTCCTCAGTGAGGTCATTCCTTATGTCCTTGTCTTTCCTTTAATAAATGTGATGCAATGTGAATAAATCAGTTGAATTGAAATATGTATAGATTTGCTATTTTAAAGTGTAACTATAAACCCCTTGTGAAAATGTGGACAAAAATGAGGAAAACCTGCAGCAAAGTGGGCGGAGCCAAGCCACATTGAGGGGCCAGTGCTGCAGATGAGGGAAACTTAGCACCTTTGTAGCAATGTTAGCAACTATTTTCGCAAAAGCGACTATCGACGAATCTTTTCTGTTGCTGGAGACTTTTATGGCAACAAACACATGAAATCAGCAGCGACTGTGCAGCAGCTGAGCCTGACCCTGTGAGCCCCTCCTGGTCCGCGGGGCAGAGCCGACCCTTCCACTCCATCTCCATATTACTCACACATGAAGCAGAGGAACGCCACCAGGTGGCAAATCATGAATTGTAATATTTTATTCCAGAGCAGGGGCTGAGATGACATCAACCAAGCTGGACCGTGTGAACAAACCGATCTTTTTTAAAAATGGCACAAATTGCACAGAAAGATGAAGATATAACCCTGAAGGGTTTATATCTTTGGTGAGCATATCTGCATAGAAATGTGGATTTGGGGTTTAGTTTCTCTTTTAACACTTCAAATTAAGAGGGTTGTGTTGAAACTGGAAAACAACCATCCAGATTCACCCAAGTGAATTTTGTTCAAGTGAATTTTGTTCAAAGTGCCTTTTCTTTCATTTTTATTGGCTGGGATGTTACAGTTTTTGCTCATTGACCAATTTTGCGAAGGTGGTTAGGAAAATGAGGAATTACCTGGATCAGTGGGGGATTCAACCACCACCGTCCAGAAAGCGTTGAGAGGGCGTCGGTTATCTCCCTGGCGTTGCGAAACAGTTGTCTGAAGTCCTTTGCCATGAACCCAGGCTATCAGAAAAGGCGATCTGTTTCATCTCGTCCTCAACGGCAGCCTGGAGCCCGCGGCCAGCGCCAGAACGCCAGCTTCTGCCGAGCCTGAGCCGGCCCCCGCCACGCTGTCGCTGGACTGCTGCTGACAATCAAGCAACAGGAGCTGAGGGACGTTGCGGCTGATGCGGCTGCCTTCTCAGGCCTCAGCATGTTGAGCCCGCACAAAGTCCAAGGCGGCTCCGATGTTGATGGTCTGTCCCGATCTGGCTCTGATGGCTGCCAAACTGAGCAGCGATTCTTTGGTCCCGTGGGTTTGGAGGTCCATGACCA